TTATTCCCTACTGAAACTTGTTTAATAAGTCTCTTTAACATGAAAATTATAGATTTATCAGTGACTACCTCATAGTGTACACTAGATTTATTAAGGTTTGGTTTACCCACTTGCGATGGGTGTCACACATATGTGACGTCTGGAATATGGACCATGGCCAGCTGTCCCACTAGTGCAATGCTAGATCGGAGCTTGCACTCTGATTTTGTTGCCTGAGGTGGGCAGCACATGAGTAGGTTCCTGGCCTGGCCTGCTCGCCGACCTTGATACCGCCCAGAAATGGGGATTATTGCCCTCCAAATGGACCTTCGTGGGTGGGTTAACAAACAGAACCTTAACATGTTAGAATTCACATGCGACTAAAGTGTTTCTGAAGAAAAGTGTGTTAGAATTGTTTATGGGATAGATTAGATTTTGTTTTGTTTTTCCTACTATACTGTAAGGCTGCAAAAGTGGAGCTGCTTTATTTTTCTTGGTTGTCTTCTCTGGTGAGTATAGAACTAGACCTGAATTATTCATGAGAATATTAGGGGTTGACTTGTGTGCCAGATTGCCTTGTATGCTTGCATATACAATAATTAAAGTAAAAGTGAATTTGCCCAACAAATGTTATGCTCTCCTCAAAATTGGGAAAATGGCATCTTGAAGTTGATTACTACTTTTATATGCCTGGAAGCAAATGGAAGTGAGGCAATCCACACAACACCTATAAAATAGGAGAGCAGTTGCTGAATTTGGGAAATCATTCTTGTTTTACACAGGGGCGGGTCCCGAGAATTTTCTGGTGGGGGGCACAGGGGGTAACAACAATAAATCTGGGGGGGTCTGCCAAAAAGAAACAAAAAATTAAGACTGCCCACTTCAATACTTATATTGTATAGTTATACATTGTTTATGTTTTCATCTTGCCGTGTATTATATATTATTATATGTTAATATTATTTATTTATATATAATTATTATATATTAATATATAAAAGGTCAATGATTCTTGGGTGGGGGGCACATGGGGTGGCCAATCAGATTGCCCCCCTCTGCTACCATGGAAGACCCGCCTCTGGTTTTACAGATTGCTTTGCGTTAGCACAGTAGTAGACATTTTGCATAGAAAGAGGAAATAAGGTTACAAAAATAAAAGAACAAAAAGGAATTAATAGTGAGATGGATGAAAGAGAGTGAGGTCCAGTGACTGACTGAAATGATTTAATCATGAGCTGAGGGGTTTGTTACCTCAGTCAGTGCCTTTGCCTCACTTTTGCCTGGAGTTTGGTGTCTGATGCTTTTTTTTCCATTTTTCCTAGGCTTTACTGTAAAATATATACCTTAATCCATTGGATTTGGGTGATGTGACAGTCATATCATGAAAAGATTTGGCTGAGGGCCAGATGATGGGAACATGTCATGATAAAAATTGGCTGAGGGCTAAAGTGATGGCATTATCCTGTCATGGGAAATTTGGCTGAGGGCCAGGATGACAGGACTGACTCGTTATGAATGCACAAAGGTCTTGGAGGATGATTGGACTTAGTGGGCATTTAAGAAAGGGCTTTAGCATGATTTCCACTGGTAAAGAGGATGGAATGTATCATCCATGATCATGGTTGCAAGATTGCTGGCTCCAGGGAGGACACAATTTCTATGCTCAGGATCCCAATCCTACTGACTGACAAATATATAAAGATATTACACAAATAACACTATTTTACCCATTGCTATTTCTACTGCACGAGTTGTATACTACCAACAGAGATGATATGGCGTCTAATCAAGGAAAACGACTGATTGCCATCTTGACACAGAATAAGAAAATATAATAGACCTTGAAAAATGGCAAACAGCAAAAATTCTTATGGTAAAAAAACAACTAATAACACTACAAAGAGGAGGCAAGGAATCTTGATACTCCACATGAGTGGTTGTGTAGTCTAGACCTACAAGCCACACACCTGGAAGTATGCTTATTGCCTGGATTTTGGTCTATACCATTTGTTATGGTAACATGCCTCAGAATGCTTTAATATTATGCAGGTAATATCTCAAAATTCATGCCAGTCTTGCTTACCTAACTTTTCAATTAATGCCACAAATATGGATCAGGGAGTATGAATAAAATATTTCTAATTGAAATGCTTTCTCCAACAGGTGAAGGAAAATGATGTTGAAAGTATTCTTAATTGGGAGAAGAATCAGACTGACCCAAAGGGTGTGGAGGTCCCTTTCCGTCCATCAAGAGTTATCCTACAGGTTTGTTTTTTATGTATGTTGTGCTGTACATTTGATAATCCATTTTCCCTCACTAGTTGCCTCTTCATATCCTAATTTTTCTTTATTAGTATCCTATTTAACTACTAGCTGCTGGGTGGCATTTATGTACATGCCATGGTTGTTGTGGACCAAAAAATGGATGGCATTGTATCATGACCATTCCTATGCCATTGGCTCGTCAGACGGAGTTTGTTTTTCTCTGATAGTAGCGGCTTTATTTATATGGTAAAGATTTTAGGCAATAGCACCTATAATGAAGGTAAACCTTCTAAATTGAAACATTTTTATAGATCATAGCAAAATAAAAGCTTTTAGGTGCCAAATGTCGCTCACAAACTACCGAACAAGCTGGGCACAAACAGGGGAACTGCAGATGCGCGCCAATAATCGCGCTATCATGTCCACTGACCAAACTTTTTTGCCTGGTGGCATTGGGTTAATACCCCTTTCTGATATGAATATGGAGTTCCTTTTCCCATTTCCTTTAACAGCATGAAAAGTGATATCATATCCTCTTAGTGCTCTTGCTAATAAAAGGTGGAAAGTTCTGTATCATTTACATGGATGGGATATAAACTTCATCCAATCTCACTGGGATGATGTCCTATCAAGACATGGTAGACCACCTCTCACACTGGTATAACATCTGTATTTCATGTTGCATTTATTTGGCCTGTCTGCACTTGTTGAGAACATACCCAGTCAAAAGTAGGCATAAAGCCTGATTTTAGCTTAATTACCCAAATTATTTGTGCTGCAGCCAAGAGTATAGTGAATGGGATAATTTTATGCTTCCTGTGCTTCTTATTTTTCCTCAAGCATCTGATTCTGTATATTTATATTATTATATACTGTTGATTATAATTTATTGATTATTGCTTCCTTTCTAATCTGAGCTTGATTCATTGTTCTGTACCCAGCATTAATTCTATTGTCCATTTTCATCCCTATGTGGTAGGATTTCACAGGTGTTCCAGCTGTTGTGGATTTTGCAGCCATGCGTGATGCAGTGAAGAAGCTTGGTGGAGACCCCGAGAACATCAACCCTATCTGTCCTGCTGACCTTGTCATTGATCATTCTGTCCAAGTGGAGTTTTCTAGAACGTTAGTATTATATTTGTGTATCCTAGTATTAGAGCTCAGGTGTCCTATGTTTGTCTTTTGTTTTTTTTGTTTCCCTTCTACTGAATATTTTGGTTACTTCTTTTACTCGTTTACATTATGTTTGTTAAGCTGCTTTATAACCATTGTTTTATTATGCTTGTAGGTTAGAGACTTATAATATGTTGGGATAAAAGAATATATTTAACAAAGCAAATTAATCCAATGCCTCTAGGCCAGCTAAAATGCTTGAAAGACATAAACTCTGCTTGTAAACATAGCTGGTATGCAAAATGTGGAAAATTGATACTAGATAATGGCTTAAATTATACCCAATTACCACAGTGATCAGTAAAAAGAAATACTTCAGCATTAAGATATGAATGTATTTTTACTGACTTTCATAACATTTCAACTTTGGGCATACATTTTTTTAACTTAAATTCAAGAGAATCATGCCTTGTATCTCTTCTTGAAGACATGGATAGAATATCAGTTGTGAATTTTTATCATGTAGTGGCACCAACTAAGAAGAGCTAGGGTAGACTTTTATATTTTTAATTACATAGATATTTTCTGTAATTTATTTCTGTGTTTCAATGAAAGTATATGATTGTAAATTAAGCAAAAGCATGAATAAGTTCTATTGGTTATATTGTAAATTATCTGTGTATACTGCTTTAGCTATGTATTGTCTTTGGTTAGAGTAGAAGCCATGTAGTTTATTGTAAAGTAGGACAGTTGGTTGGAAATGTATGAATGGAAGATTAATAATTGCAACATGTGAAGTTGTATAATATATATA